CAAGGTGGTTCAAAAGCAAACCTGATAAAGAAGGAAACCCCGTAGTTAATAGTTGAAAGTCTTGGTGGCTTTAGGCGATCGATACCGCCATGCTGTTTACTTTTTATGACATACAATGCAGTGAGTGATGTGTATCGCACCGAGTTAGCTCGGTTGGAAACGCGCAAGGCGGCAATCCCAGGCATTGCAAGTTCGAACCCCAGTGCATCGGACATAAATATTTTTAGCAATTTAACATTTTTAACAATTTTATAATTTTTAACAATTTTATCAGTTTTAACGATTTTAACAATTCTGCATTTTAACCATTACAACTATTTTTTTATTTTCGTTGTTTTAGCTTTTAACATTCAAAACTGATTGTTCTTACTCAAGAATGTCAATAACTTAGAATGTTAGTCTTTTGTATTTTTCCAACATACAAACTAAAATCACTTTGATGTTGTCACAAAAGTATTGAGCTGACAAGAGAGAAGGAGTACGGTACTCTGCCAGTGTGAAGAATCTACAGAGGTATTACCAGTCACTAGTACATGTAGCAAGAGATAGACCACATTGAATGATGACGATGAGGACGAATCATATGAAGTACTATCATAGCTAGTACAGAAATTCTACTGCTTTACTTTACTTTCTTTCACTCTGTACATGCAATTAGCTCACTGGCATGATTTTAAAAATAAAGGTTATGATAATCATATTATATGTATAGCTTATTCAATGTATGGCTTCATAGTTTATGTGATTGTTAATAACACCTGCACAGAGCATTTCCATACTGACAGTATGTCTTTATTCAAGTGTTTTGGTAGGTATTTCAAGCTTTTCTGCTCCAGCATTGGAATGCGGGGCATGTAACGTTTTTTTTTTTTGAAAATCAACAGTTTGCATTATGCAATTAAAAATCCTAACCAATGAAGTAGGGAATAGCTATCCAACTGTTGTTTTAGTTGTATGTTACTTCATATTATAGTTATATCAATGTAAATCATTGTTTTCCCTTGTGTTTCTCATTCTTTCCCTGCCATGTGGTAAAATGTGGTGAACCCATCGCTGTATTTGCTCCAAAGCAAATATTGGCCTTTCTAGTTTTGTTGTGAATTTTCCACACCATCTTCAGAGAGTTTTTAAGCTGTCCTTCTGCATGTATGAAGAAGCAAGTTTCAAGCAACACTGTGACTTTTAGATACTAATTGCAATGATGGGAGTGTGGAGTTCTTTTGGCATCTGATAGTTCTTGTATTGTCCAGGAGATGTGTTTGGCTCCATAGAGGCCATCATGGACACCCTGGCCTCCTATGACTGTGAGGAAGACTGCAAGTTGAAGGTCATTCACGCTGATGTCGGAGCCATCACTGAGTCTGATATAGAAATGGCTGCAGCCTTTGATGGTGAGAAACTTTTTTTGCACTAATTCATAAGACTAGGGATGCACCATAGTGTTTCAAAATCAAACCTAGTTGTGCAGTGTTGTTAGTGTGGCCTAAATGAGAAAGATATCTGTACTT